TATTTTTATTTTTATTTTCAGCTCAAAAGAAAGCAAAGCCCAAAGGGAGCTGAGTCCTTCCATTTCCACTCCTACCTGCAGCATCTGAATTTATGAGGCACAGACATCACCAAGAAAAGATGATTTCTTGATGACACAAGCCTCTCTTATTTCATCATCCTTCATCCTGGATCAAAACCCAAGAGCTCTGTGGACAGGAGAAATATCCCAGCATGGTTTGGGTTGGAAACACCTCAAAATCCACCTTGTTCCAACCCCCTGCCCTGGCAGAGACACCTTCCACTGGACCAAGTTAAGGTTTTCACGATTTTCCCTCTGTCAAACAATTATCTGGGCCTGTGCCTCTTCCTGTGCATCACTAGTGCTCACTCTGAATGGAGAATTATTTTCATGAAATTTAAAGACTCTTTGGTGGTGGTACTTTTGTAACCCCAATCTTGATCAATTTGTGATTGTGTGTTGGTGGGAAGGTTTAAACTGACCAGAAAATCCCATTTACCTTAGGAAAACAACCTAAACAATGAGCTCTTGGATTAAGAAAAAGCCTCGGAAGGTGATGGGGTGTCCCCAGCAGGAAATCCAAGTAATTCCTAACCAAAAAAAGGATTCTCTTCCTTCACTCCTTCCCTTTAGAAGCAGCCTCAACTCTGCCTCTGTGTGGCAGCACTGGAAAAGAACATGAAAAATAATAAAATAATGAAAGATGTGTTTCTTTCTTAAGGTCACTTGGCTATTAACTCTCTTTATCCTGCCATGAACCTTGAAAGATGAGGCAGATAATTCTCCTGTCAGCCTGGCAGGGCTGAGGGGAGCAAGATGCCTCAAAGATAAGGTTAAGGCTTTCTGGTTCTCAAAACTTGACAGAGAATCAAGACAATGTCAATGTCATATTAATAACTGAGGTACAAGTAATTCAGAGCAGTCATTACACTTAAAATAACTCCTGGAACCAAGCAGGGGAGGTATGAAGTTGTAATTTTCAGGGTTTTTCAAGCTGTTCCCATAGGGAGCTCATAGTGTGCCTTTGAAGAAATCTTTTTATTCACAGTGGTAAATTTATTTACACATGGTTACACAACAGATTTTAATGCACTTATTCCTCAACATATCTCAAATTATCAGGGTAATCACAGAAGTCACAGAAGTGTTTAGGTTGGAAAAGACCTTCAGGATCATTGAGTCCAGTTGTTACTCAGAGACAGCACTTTGCATTTCACCTGACTGCTGATGCAGAATGGAATATTCATGGATTATCAATAACAAATTTCAAAAATTCAATTATGCCTAAAACAGCAGTCAGCAGAGTGCTGCAAGCAGTGATTTATTCCTGAGTGCTGAATCAATGAATAACAAGTCCTTAATAATGCCTGTTCTCCTACAGACAGGAACATACACGTTGTACTACAGAAAAGTTGCTCAAATAAGATAAAATAAATAAAAAAACCCCAAATGCTGATTTATTCTTTTTTTTTCCCTGCACCTCTCAATGGCTGCCAAGGCTCTGGACTGTGGGATATGAAATTATGGCAAAGGGGCAGGCAAAGAAATTGTCCAGGCAGGAAAGGGAAGGTGACATTACCACAGGAGCTGGAGAAAAATCTGTGTTAAAGAAAGTATGTGCATATGGAAAAGGAGGTTCCTTCCCTGGAAATGCTTCAGGTGGTGAGGGACAGGAGTGAGCTGATGTGGGATTTGTCTGCTTGTTAACATTTACCTGCTCCCTGATTTCTGCTTCAGAATTAATCACTCAGGTGTGGTCTTTTTGAGGGTCCCCAGGACGAGGGGAGAGATGAGAATTTGACTCCATGTTCTCAGAAGGCAGATTTATATTATTATATTATATTATATTATATTATATTATATTATATTATATTATATTATATTATATTATATTATATTATATTATATTATATTATATTATACTATATTATGCTATACTAAACTACACTAAAGAAAGAGAAAGGATACATCAGAAGGCTAAACAAGAATGAATAATAAAAACTTGTGACTCCTCAGAGCCTTGACACAGCTGGCTGTGATTGGCCATTAATTAAAAACAATTCACGTGTTTGGATAAACAATCTCCAGACCACATTCCAGAGCAGCAAAACACGGAGAAGCTGGGGCTCCTCATCTTCCCAGGAGAAGAAATCCTGGCGAAGGGATTTTTCAGAAAACATCACGGTGACACTCAGGTGCTGTTCCTTTCTGCCATAAGTAAAGATCACAGAATCATGGAATGGTTTGGGTTGGAAGGAGCCTTAAATCCCACTCAGTTCCACCCTGTGCCATGGGCAGGGACAACTTCCACTGTCCCAGGTTACTCAAACCCCAATATCCAGCCTGGCCTTGGACACTTCCAGGGATCCAGGGGCAGCCACAGCTGCTCTGGGCAGCAGCAGAGGGAAGCTGTGGCTGTTCTCTATCCCAGACACACAGGTTGGATGGAGAAGGATTGGGGGTGATGGTTAATGAAAAACTCAACACAAGCCAGCAGTGTGTGCTCCCAGCCCATAAACCAATGGCCCCTAAATTGGGGAATACACTGAGGGGCTGGAGAGTGTGCAGAGAATGGAGCTGGGAAGGGAATGGAGCCCCAGGAGAGGCTGAGGGAGCTGGGCAGGGGCTGCAGAATCCCTGAGGGAGCTGGGCAGGGGCTGCAGAATCCCTGAGGGAGCTGGGCAGGGGCTGCAGAATCCCTGAGGGAGCTGGGCAGGGGCAGGAGAATCCCTGAGGGAGCTGGGCAGGGGCTGCAGAATCCCTGAGGGAGCCGGGCAGGGGCTGCAGAATCCCTGAGGGAGCTGGGCAGGGGCTCAGCCTGGAGCAAAGGAGGCTCAGGGGCCCTTGTGGCTCTGCACAGCTCCTGCCAGGAGGGCACAGCCGGGGGGAACAGGGACAGGAGCAGAGGGAACGGCCTCAGGCTGGGCCAGGGCAGGGTTTAGGTTGGGTGTGAGGAAGAATTTCCTCACAGGAAGGGTTGTTAAGCATCAGAAGGGGCTGATCAGGGAATGGTGGAGTGCCCATCCCTGGAGGTGCCCAGGGAATTCCTGGAGGTGGCACTCAGTGCTCTGGGCTGGGTGATGCCGTGGGGACCGGGCACAGCTTGGACTCGATGACCTCGGAGATCATTTCCAATGGTAATGTGAAAAACGTCAATCACTTGTTTTTAAAATGTTAAAAGTTTAATAGTAATAAAATGGTTATAAAAATAGCAATAGAATTAGAGTAATAATATTTTGGATTAGGACAATATGAGACAATAGAAACAAAGAGTTACAGACATCCAGGTGCCTTTTCTGGGCAAAATAAGCCTGAAAAAGGCCCCACATTAATAGAGGATTAACCCTTAAAAACAACAGCCTGTTGGCTACTCACACACCTCATCCATGATGCAGAAATTCCATTCCAACACAGGATTCTGTCTGGGCAGTGTCAGCTTCTTCCTCTTCCTCCTGATGGTGTCTCCAATCCTGAGCAAGGCAGAAGTTCATTTCTCCTGATAATGGAGCAATAAATTCTCTTTCTCTGAAAGATTCAGGTATCCTGTGGCTGCTATCTGGTGTGAGTACCTCATTCCTTTCTTTAAAAAAATATCCCACATACACAGTTTCTATTTTAACTACAAAAGTTACATTTAAACTACAAAACTACGTTTACAATCCTACTAAAATGTCAATACAGCGCTACCAATCAATATAACACATAGAGTAAATATCTGTGTAGAGCCACATTAATATGCACTTTTCACACTTAATGATTCCGTGATAAGGAGTAATGGGTGCAAACTGAAAGAAGGGATATTTAGGACATATAGAAGGAATCCTTCTGTCACTATAGGACACGAAATAACACGACACGCACACATCGCTGTTTTCAAGGCAAAAAAAGAAAGTTTATTTTTTGACTCTAACATTTATAGATTTCTAAAAGTAACAGTGGATTGGAGGGTGAAAGCGCCACCTCTCCAATGACACCGGGCAAACTAACAGTTTATCAAATTTCTCCTTTTCCATAAAAGCATGTAAAACAATGAGTCATTTACAGAAAGTGCATGAGAAAGTTCGTTACAAAAATGTAAACATCAGAAGGCTTAGAAAATCTTAAAAAATCAGGGTGACATCCTTCCCTGTGAGGGTGCTGAGGCCCTGGCACAGGTTACCCAACCATCCACGGCTGCCCCATCGCTGGTGTGCCATGGTGTGCCATGGGGATGAGTCGGGAATTCCATCCCTTCCAATCCTAACCCTTCCAGGACTGCAATCCTTTCCAATGCCAACCATTCCAGGATTCCAATCCTTTCCAATGCCAACCATTCCAGGATTCCAATCCATTCCAATCCCTTCCAAGTCCCAACCGTTCCAGGATTCCAATCCCTTCCAATCCCAACCACTCCAGGATTCCAATCCCTTCCGATTCCAACCATCCTAGGATTCCATTCCAATCCCGACCATTCCAGGATTGCAATCCTTTCTGATTTCAATCCCTTCCAATCCCAACCGTTCCAGGATTCCAATCCCTTCCAATCCAGGACTGCAATCCCTTCCTACTCCAATCCCTAGCAATCCCGACCATTCCAGGATTGCAATACTTTCCGATTCCAGTCCCCTCCACTCCCAACCATTTCAGAATTGCAATCCCTTCCGATTCCAATCCCTTCTGATTCCAATCCCTCCCAATCCCAACCACTCCAGGATTTCAATCCCGACCGTTCCAGGACTGCAATCCCTTCTGATTCCAACCCCTTCCGATCCCCACCACTCCAGGATTCCGATCCCTTCCCAATCCCGACCACTCCAGGATTCCAATCCCAACCATTTCAGGATTGCAATCCCTTCCGATTTCAATCCTGGCCATTTCAGGATTCCAATCCCTCCCATTCCAGGACTCCAGCCCCTCCCGATGCCCCGCTCTCCCGGTTCCCGGTGCCTCCTCCCCGTTGCCCTCAGGGCGGGCCCGGCCGTGACGCGCCGGGAAGGCGGAAGGAGGGGGGGCGGCCCAAGATGGCGGCGCCGGGCCGGGCCGGGCCCGCGCTGAGGGCTCCGCTCTGCGCTCTGCTCTGCCTGGCGCTGGCCGCCGCCGCCCGGGGCAGGCCGAGCCCCGTGAAGGTGCTGTCGGACGGGATGTGGCGGGAGCTGCTGCAGGACGAGTGGATGGTGGAGTTGTGAGTGGGGAGCGGCGCGGCGGGGGTGCCGGGGCGGTGTGAGGGCTGTGTGGGTGACCGCGCTGTGCCGCTCCCGCAGCTACGCGCCCTGGTGCCCCGCCTGCGAGAACCTGCAGCCCGAGTGGGAGAAATTCGCCGAGTGGGGAGAGGACCTGGGGGTCAACGTGGCCAAAGTGGATGTGACCGAGCAGCCGGGTGAGAGGGGCTGGGAAGGGCTCCCGAAGCCCCCCCGGGATTTGGGGAGCTGAGGGGTTTGGGGGTGCTCGTCTCCGGTGTGTGCTTGTGGGAGGCAGGCAGAAATAATAGGGGTAATAAAAGTGTTTTACTCATCTCTAGCTGTGTGACTAAACGCCCTGATCTTGCTTAATAGGATCCCAGAATGTTTTGGTTGGGAGGGACCTTGAAGATCATCCCATTCCAACCCCTACCGCACCTTCCACCATCCCAGGGAGCTCCAAGCCCCGTCCAGCGTGGCCTTGGACACTCCCAGGGATCCAGGGAAAGCTTCTCTGGGCACCCTGGGCCAGGTTCCACACAGGAACGAGACTGTCAGATAGTAGATCAAATAAGTATAATTGAATGAATAGAATAAACAAAATGCATAGACTATAATAGGTAAAAACAATGAGAGGTTTTGTTCAGAGCATGATTTCAAGGAGATTTTTGGCCATATTTTTAAAGTTTCAGCCTTGCCATTCCAGTCCCTCCTTTGGTTGGGAGAAGGGAGCGCAAACAATCTGCTCTGACTGTTCTGAGACTGTCCTGAAAATCTCCTGAAAATCTCCTGGAACTCTCCTGTCCCTGTGGGATTTGTAAGCCTGGCCTTCCCCACGCTGATCTCTTTCTCCAGAGCAGCTTTACTTTTGAAGCTTGCCTCACTTGGGTTATTTTCCTCAGGGTTTCTGGAGGCTGCAGATCCTGTTTGCAAAGGAGAGCCTCTCCCTCTGAAGAGCTGCAGCCAAAAGAGTCCAATGGAGCTGTTATCCCTGGATATCTCATTTTCCCCATGTTACTCTTTGTCCAGGGACCATTTTTTAAGTGTGTGCTGCTTTGACATGCACAAGGTTGTGTTGGATTGCATGGAAATATTGATACCCAGGCCTGCTGTTGTATTTTGGGGTGTTACAGCATTCCTTGCCTCTTTTTTTTTCCATAAAAATACTCAAAATACTCTTAAAATAACTTTCCTTACAGGGTTAAGTGGACGATTTATCATCACAGCCCTCCCTACCATCTATCAGTAAGTAGAAGGGGTTTTTTGGGGTGAGAGTGGGCATTTTTTTCTTCTTTATTTTTTGGCAAATAAATGAGATTTATTATGCTCTTTAAGAATAGGAGCTGCTTGTCACTGACACATCCACTGTCTCACCCACTGTGACCTTGTGCTGCCAGATGATTTCTTTTCCTTTCCCTTCAGGCCTTATTTATTCTGCCTTTTCATGGGTGTTTCTGTTTTGCAATCCTTTCTCTGTAGGTTGATCTTCAGTGCAGGTGTGTGGCAAGGGCTTTAGGAAGATCATTATCTTTTTTCTCTTTTTTTTTTTTTGTGGGATCACAGCCTAAAGCTAGCCAAGCTGTTTGTGGATTCAGTGTTCTGGAAATAACTTGGAGTAAGTCCAGGGCTTTGGAAAATGGTTTTTAGAGGCAATATCAGCTAAAAAAAACCTAACACTGAAAAAGTGAATGTGTAAAAAATAGACAAGGTGATGGGAGGGGGTTTGTTGGATGGAAACAAATGCTGCACTTGGTGCTTGGATCATATAAATAAAGGATTTGGGTGATGTTGTTGTTATTTTACAGCTGCAAAGATGGAGAGTTCAGGAGGTACCAGGGAGCAAGGAATAAAGCTGCCTTCATTAACTTCATCAGTGATGAGGAGTGGAAATCCATTGAACCAGTGTCCTCCTGGTTTGGTCCTTCCTCTTTCCTGTAAGCTTTGGGTTGGTTTTGTAAGAATTTATTATCAAATGTCCTGAGCTGTGCCCTGCTCCCTGTTCCAGCTCTGTGTGGGCAGGAGCTGTGGGAATGGGTGGGTGGGTGTCCCAATTCTTCCTCAGCTGTGGCAGGGTTGTCACCACAGCAGGGGTGACCTGAGCACTGTCACCACAGCAGGGGTGACCTGAGCACTGTCACCACAGCAGAGGTGACCTGAGCACTGTCACCATAGCAGGGGTGACCTGAGCATTGTCACCATAGCAGGGGTGACCTGAGCACTGTCACCACAGCAGAGGTGACCTGAGCACTGTCACCACAGCAGGGGTGACCTGAGCACTGTCACCATAGCAGAGATGACCTGAGCACTGTCACCACAGCAGGGGTGACCTGAGCACTGTCACCACAGCAGGGGTGACCTGAGCACTGTCACCACAGCAGGGGTGACCTGAGCATTGTCACCACAGCAGGGGTGACCTGAGGGTTGTCACATAGCAGGGGTGACCTGAGCATTGTCACCATAGCAGGGGTGACCTGAGCATTGTCACCATAGCAGGGGTGACCTGAGCACTGTCACCATAGCAGGGGTGACCTGAGCACTGTCACCATAGCAGGGGTGTCCCCAGCAAGGTTTACTTTAAAGCTTGAAGAGGTTTCCTAAACTCTTGTAGGGACCTTGCTGACCCTTGAAGTTTTTTGGCTTCTGATGGTTTTTGCCCAGCTAAATCCTGGGAAATTTCTTCCACTGTCTGGATCAAATCACAAGGAAATCACAGAGGGATTCTCCATCAGGAAGTGACAGGAAAAAGGGGATTGGGTTCAAACTGCCAAGGGAAATTTGGGTTTGATACATGCAAGGAATTCCTGGCTATGAGGTTCTCTTACAAACTCTTACCCCACGCCAAGGAATGTGTGAAACTGGGTATTAATTCAGCATCAACAAGTTCTCTTATTATTTTCTGTACTCAGACACCAAACTTAAGTGTCTGAGGATCTCTCAGCTCTTATAACCTGATTTTCTTTTAATAGCTTAATTTTTTTTTTGTTTTAATAAAACCTCCTTGTGCTTCTTTCTTAGTATCTCCACTGGAGTTCCAGCTGGCTTCTCACAGAGCATTGGTCCAGATAGAACAGAAAAGGGACTTGAAATTCACATGGATTAACTTTAACTTGGATTCAGCAGATCCAAGTTAAAGAAATCTGGGAATTTATTGCTGTCCATGTATGAGCTGAGGTTGTTTCACACAGGTTTGAGGCTGAAATTATGGCAAAGGGACAGGCAATGGAATTATCCAGGCAGGAAAGGGAAGGTGACATCATCACAGGAGCTGGGGGAAAATTTGTGTTTTAAGGTGTTCTCAGTGCTCTCTCTTTAAGATTTTAAGGTGTTCTCAGTGCTCTCTCTTTAAGATTTTAAGGTGTTCTCAGTGCTCTCTCTTTAAGATTTTAAGGTGTTCTCAGTGCTCTCTTTTTAAGATTTTAAGGTGTTCTCAGTGCTCTCTTTTTAAGGTTTTAAGGTGTTCTCTTTTTAAGATTTTTAAGGTGTTCTCAGTTTCTCTTCTGTGCTTTGTTTCAGGATGAGCAGCATGTCAGCGTTGTTCAAATTGTCCATGTGGATCAGGGTATTTGCTTACATCCCCACTTCATTTCCTCCTCAATATGAAATCAGCTCTTTCTGAAATAATTCTCTTTTATTCTAGCATGGCCATGGCTATTTGACAGAAAACCTTGGAATGCCAGTCTGGGGCTCCTATGCAGTTTTTGGATTGGCCACTCTGTTCTTAGGAATGGTTCTGGGACTTGTAAGTGCAGCCCTTGGGGCTGAGGGTGACTTGGTTACACTTGTGCTGCCTCCACCTCAATTTTGGGGTGGGTTTTGGGGTACCCTGAGCTGGAACACAGGGATGGGGACAGGATGGAGCCCCCATAATCCAAGGGGAAGTTGGATGGGATCCACCTGAGGGTAAATGCTTAGACTTGATCTGGAAATTTTCCATCCTCAATGATTGCAATGAATGTTTGGGAGTTTCACCCTGGGTTTCTTTGGTTTCAGATGATGGTGTTCCTGGCAGACTGCATCTGTCCCTCCAAAAGGCACAGACCACCACAGCTCCAGCCTCAGCCAAGTAAGCCCACAGCAAACTTCTGATTCAATGAAGCTGTTTGATAAATCTTATTTGGAGAAAATATTTAAGAAATCCTGGTGTCTGCAGGATGTGACGTGGAGTGGAGAACTTTGCATTTGGGATTGATGCCTCGCCCTTAGGGTTTATAATGGGTTGGGATTTGCTATTTAGTAAAGCTGGGGTATTTTTAAAACTGGTTTTAGGGATAGAAAAAATTTTGAGAGCGTTTTCATACCTGAAAGACATGAAATTCCACATGGGCAGGGAGAGGAAATGGAGTGGAGCTCTCAGTGTCACTGTGCTTGCCCGTGATGTTAAAAAAGTGGATTTTACTTTGCTATTTACTTGTGTGTTTTTCCTTTCTCCTCGAGGGAAACAAGGTCCAGAGTCAGCTCATCTGCTGAAGAACAGGTATGAAGAGCAGGAGGGAGATGAGGGAGATATCTCAGATGAGGAAACAGAGGGGAAGGAGGGGAGCAAGAGAGACTCATCCCCGAGCGGTGTCCGGCAGCGCCCCGTGCCCAGTGCTGCTCCTCTGGAGAAATCTTAGCTGCATTTGCACCAGGATTAGTGCTTGAGTCAGCCACTCAAAGGGAGAGCAATGTCACATCCTCCAGCTTGAAGAGAAGAAATGACTCCTGGCTTGGTAATGTCGCTGCATTTCATCAATTCGGAGGAAATAATAACAATAATAAAATAAAAAAAGCATCAGGTATTCCAAAGGAAAAGTTGCTGTTGCAAATGGCTGGAACTTCTCCTGTCTGTGTGCAGAGAAGTGTCAAGGAATGATTGCTGTGGCTTCTGGGATGATTTGTTCCCTAGGGATTATTAGGAAGAGAATGTAAACCAGAGTCATTCCTGCATTAGAGAGCATTAGCAAGGAAAATGCACTCACCTGGTTGTTGCTTAAACCTCCCAAAAGGGTTCCCTGCTCTTATACTGTTTGTCAGTATAAATTTCTAGCTGTGCCCTGAAGAAATGCTGAGGGAAAATTTCCTTTAGTTATGGACCTAAAATTCCTTTAGTTTAGGCTTTTTATGAGACAAAAACTGCCTTTTGCTATGACAATGAGTGCTACAAACCCCCCCCACCTCTTTTCTTACAAAGAGCTGATGGAACTTAGCACAAGCACTCCTGCAGTGGGATCCTCTGGCTGTCCAGAACCCTGCTGCTTGCATCCATTTCTTCCAGAAAAAGCTGTAGAAAACTCTCTGAGCTTCTTGGCAAAGTAGTTTTCCTCTAGGAACAAGTGACAAGCAGCACCTTGAAGTCTTGTCTGTCTCTGTGACTCCATAGTTTACACACAGGGTTCTCTGTGCAAATCCTCTCCATTCCTCCTCCTGGATGCCAGCAGGGCTCTGCTTGTTTTTAATCCATCATTTCTTACTCAAATCTTGCTGCAGATCCATGCAGGCTGTACCTGGCCTGAAGTTAAAATAACTCCTTTCTATTTCTTCTTTTTTTTTCCTCCTGTTTTCACAAAATCATTTTGAAACATTAAACCTGAATTTTTTTCTTGGAAAAAAAAGAAAAAAAATTAGTTTACTCTTGTCTGTATGGTGTTTGTTTTCACTCTGTATAGAAATAAAAAGAATGCACATGCCCTTTGGACCAGTGTTGTAAAGAGTTTTCCATATTCTTTTGATTCAATTCCAAAGTTTTTGCAAGGGAAGGATGAGCCTAATACTGAGCACATTTAGATTTTTTTGCCAAGCTTGTTTCTGATTTTTTTTGTTTGTTTGTTTAGCTTTATGGGTTCTTAGCTTTTATTTGTAGTTATTTAGGTTTTTTAGTGTTTAGTTTTTATTTGTAGTTATTTAGTGGCTTTTTTTTTAATTGCCCATCTGACTTCTTCCCCTTTTTTTGTTTCTTTTCTCTACATTGGTGCTCTGGAATGACTTGACTTCAGTGCAGTGTGTTAGAAAGATAAACTGGTGTTTGAAAGGGTCTTTTTGGCTAAAATCTGTCCTTTTTTAAAGCTAAAACCTCTCCTGGTGTTGGGATGAAGACCACTGTGTGCTGGAATTGCCCTTAAGGTGTTGGTTCTGTGGAATTGCCTTAAATTCTCTAGAAGTTCCCATCTCTGAGCCTTTGTCACTGATAGATAAAGCAATAAATAAATAAATACTGAGGAGAAGTAGCAGCACTGCCTTGGATCAGTGGTGGTTTTGCAGTTTGGAGAGGGCTTGAGGAGACAGAAGAGCTGTAGCTGGTAGGAAAAAGTGTTGAGTTGTTTGAAAAGCTGAACTCTGCTCACTCCACTTGGGATATATTCCAATGTAGCTTTTCTAAGTGCACAGGTTTTTAATTTTTCAGTTACCACCAAACTTGGTGCAATACAGAGAGGACACCCTGCTGACTTGTGGCAAACTTCTCATTGTAAAAGAACACCCAACCTTTCCCTTGTTGTGCTGGACTTGTGGGCTCCTGCTTGAACAAGAACTTCCAGCAGGCAGCAGGAATTTACATTTTTTTTTTCCTCTGCCTGCTGCTCACTTCTCCCTGCCTTAGGCACAGACCCAAACCCCAGACCCCAAACAGGCACAGACCCAAACCCCAAACCTGCCTCGTGGGGGTGACTGTTCCCAGCTGTGCAGCTCCTGCTTGGATTGTCCACAGGCAGCCGCTGCTGATCTCTGCCAATCTCACCCTGCAGATTTTGCAGAATATTATGGTTTTGTCCTGTGAATATTTAAGTTCCTTGATTGATTTTTTTTTGTTTGTTTGTTTTAAAGATCTCTATTCCAAAGATATTTACTGAGGCTGAGTGGTGTAACCTGAGTGTAAGAGCCTGTCCTTTGTGTGTTTTGATGTTGCCTGAATATCAATTTTGTAAAAACCAGAATGCCCTTTCCATATCACCTGGATCAGGCCTGTTTTCATTCCAGAAAGAATTAATGACAATAATGTAACAATAATTTTGTTTTTCAGAGAGTCTTCAAGTAAAAAATAACCACCAGCTTTGGATTCCTGTGTCTGTGTCTTTTTCTTTTTTGTTTTTTTTTTAATTGCTCAGGTTCTTGCTGCTTAGTCATGAAACAGCTGCTTCCATGGATAAAAATTATAACCCTGAAGATATAAAAATGTTTTTTTGAAAAGTCAGGTGTGAACAATAATTCAAAGTAAAGCTGTGATTTTTTAGTCAAGACTGGCTTGGGTACCTCACCTTGATAGATGGTTCCAATGGTTTGGGAAGGAGCTTTCACTCATGCCAGGCTTAGCCAGAAATGGTAATAAAATGTGGTTTTCTGTAGCAGAAAATGTAGGCTGGAGTTGACAAATGATGTTTAAAATGAATTTCTTTGGTGGCTGCTTTCCTTTCTGTAGTTGTGTGAAACACTGCCAGGGGTGTGGGAGCTGCAGCTGGGCCCTTCCCCAAGCCCAGCAGCTGAAGGGATCAACACTCTGGGATTAATCCTGGAGTGGGAAGCTTAATTCCAGCTGCTGGCAGCTCTGAAGTGAAGGAGGCTGCTTGGGAAGGAGACAAATCCAGGCAAGGAATGCTCAGGGTGTTCTGAGTTACAGCCGGTTCCTTCCCTCCATCCCTGCCCTTGGGGGTGTGGAATTTTCTGGAAAAGTGCAATAATGCTCTTAGCTCCACCCTGACAGGGGTAAGGAATTGAGAATTCCACAGGCACTCAGGGGATGCTCATGGAAACCTCACTCCCCTCCTCTTCCTCTCAGTGAGATGCATCCAACAGGGAGTAACAGCAGAAGGAAATAAACCTAGGGGAAAAAACCAAGGGAAAAGTCAAACTGAAATAGTTTTGGGTATTAAAATGCTTGGGAATGGCCTGATAGGAAGGAAATGTCTGGGAATTGTTGGCAGTTGGTGTTTGCCAGATTGCCCAAGGCTGGGTTGGACATCAGTGGTTTCAGTTGTGATAATGCTTGGTGGGGAAGGAGACATTTCAGTGTTTAGCCCTGGTTTAGAAACACCAAATTCAATCTCAATTTTAAGGTTTCTTTGCTTTAAGAAGGGGGAATTGTCTCTCCTGCAGGTGTCTTGTCCTTGGTTTGGCCTGGACAACATCACCTTTGGCCCTTCCCTGAGTTTATTCCATGGCTGATTCCCCACTCTTGGTCCAGCTTTACTTTACCTTCCAAACTCCCTACTTTGATTAATCCAGTGACTTTCCAGAAGAATTTCTGCCAGAACCTCCCCTTTTCCCTCACTTTTCCCTGCTTGAAATGTCCCAGCCACAGATTTCACTTCCCTTCAGCATTGCTTCCAGAAATTCCCTTTCACTGCAAGGCAGATCCAAAAGGACAACTTTTAGGTCCTTGGAATTCTGCCTGCCCCAGGTGGGTTCCCAAAAACCAGGAGGAATCCTGGCCAGGAGGGGTTGAGGTGGATGTGGCTGATGTGTGAGGGGTGTCCTTGAAGTGAGGGCAGGTTCTGAAATCCTTTGAACATCAGAGGGGGGAAAGCACCACTGAAATCTGGGTGTCTCTAAAAGGTTTTTTTCTATGTGTATTAAAAGGTTTTTTAGTGTGTATCTAAAAGGTTGTTTTCTAAATTAAATTACAATTCTACCAAGGAGTTTTAAACTGCAAAGTGAGACAGCATCAATGCAAGGTCACTATTAAAGATAATATTTTTCTCAGCTGTGCTTTTCCTTCCAGAGTCTTTGTTTTGCTGAGCCTGGACCTCAGTGCCCTTTTCCCCTCCATTTGTGTGACTGCTGATTCCTCAGGAAGATTCTCTCTGAATTTTCCTTTCAATTCCTTGGCACATGGATGTATCAAGAATCAAGGGAAAGAGTAAAGACTTCTGGGATAAATTGTTTTCCAAGGATAAGTAGCCATTTCTCCCTCTTCCTCCTTTTCTCACCCATTGTCAAATATTTGGGAAGTGTTTGAAGTGTGGTCTTAGACAGATTCCTTTTTCCTTTCCTGAAATTTCCTTTCCTTTCCTGAAATTTCCTTTCCTGAAATTTCCTTTCGTTTCCTGAAATTCTTTCCTTTCCTGAAATTCTTTCCTTTCCTGAAATTTCCTTTCCTTTCTTGAAATTTCCTTTCCTTTCTTGAAATTTCCTTTCCCAAAATTTCCTTTCCTTTCCCGAAATTTCCTTTCCCGAAATTTCCTTTCCCGAAATTTCCTTTCCCGAAATTTCCTTTCCTTTCCTGAAATTTCCTTTTTTTTCCTGAAATTCCCTTCCCTTCCCTTCCCTTCCCTTCCCTTCCCTTCCCTTCCCTTCCCTTCCCTTCCCTTCCCTTCCCTTCCCTTCCCTTCCCTTCCCTGTGTTCCCAGGAGCAGGAATGTCACCCCATGTGCCCCCTTAGGACAGCACACGTGCCTGTCTCCAGAATCCCCAAGTTTTTGGGATGCTGCAGGATCTGCTGTGAGCAGCACTGCCACAGCTCCAGAGCTGATGGATGAAATCCCTGCGTGAGGAGGAATAAAAGCCCAAGAACATTCCTGAGATCCCCATGGTCCAGGGAGGACACTCTGGGTGTAATCCCGGTGGGTTTGGCTCTGTCAGGCTGATGGGTGTGTGACAACTTGCTGAGGGAGCTGCCAGCTTGATGCATCACTTGACAAGTGATGGACCCTTCCCAGTCCATCCCCATCCCCATCCATCCCCATCCCGATCCATCCCCATCCTGATCCCTTTCCTGATCCATCCCCTACCTGATCCATCCCTTGCCTGATCCATCCCTTTCCTGATCCATCCCTTCCCTGATCCCTTTCCCGATCCCTTTCTGATCCATCCCCTGCCTGATCCATCCCCTTCTCAATCCATCCCTTTCCTGATTCCCTTCCTGATCCATCCCTTCCCCAATCCATCCCCTTTCCCGATCCATCCCCTTCCTGATCCAACCCTTTCCCGATTCATCTCTTTCCTGATCTATCCCCTTCCTGTTCCCTTTCCCGATCCATCCCCTTCCCGATCCTTTTCCCAACCCATCCCTTTCCCGATCCATCCCTTTCCTGTGTGCCGGCAGTTTATATACAGACACAAACGGGACGGGGCCGCTATGACAAGCGTCCCCTACATTTCCCAATCCCCTTCCTGGTCCACCCCTTTCCCAGTCCATCCCTTTCCCAATCGATCCCCTTCCCGATCCATCCCCTTCCTGATCCACCCCTTTCCCAATCCATCCCTTTCCCGATCCATCCCTTTCCCGATCCATCCCTTTCCCGATCCATCCCTTTCCCGATCCATCCCCGCGAGCAGCGATGCTGCAGCCAAAGCCCCTCTGCCTGGGATCTGAGCTTTCCCTGGAGTTCTCCTCCTGTTTTCTCGATCAGGAGAGCCAACACCGAACCCTGGCCCCGGGGGAAGAGTTGTTTTGTTGGGATGCTCCGCTGGAATTCCGCAGCCAGGACTGAAACTCCATCCACCATGGGGTGGTGCAGTGAGACCTCGCAGGGAGGGAGAGGCGGCCAGCGCAGCCCCTCGGCACAAACGCGGTGCAGAAACCTTTAAAATCGGGGTTTTTGTAAGATTTCCCGATTGAAATCCCTCCCGTGGCCGCTGAAGATGCCTCATTTGCCTCCTGCACGCCCAGGAAAGGGAGAAGCCGGGTGGAGCCGGGTGAAATTGGGGCTGGATCTGGCTGCAGGGCAGGGTGGGGAATGTGCAGGTGGGGCTCCCT